ACTCGACGCTTCGCGTCTCGTTTGATCTGATGATCCGCGCCTGTCAACTCGACGTGATACGGCTCTTCGGATCAAGTTACTGTTATAGTAATATATATAAACCTACCTCCATCGTGCTATGACGTCATGATGATGACAAAGGGAGAAAACTTGCAAATAATATGTAGAAAAGAAAGAGGATCACGATGTATCATGAACATGTAGCCTACTTTTTAATAGTTGAATGGGCCATTGGCAATGGGTGTTCAAGTCAGTTTACAAAAAGAACTATCGTAACGAAATCAAACGACCCCAGTCTGTGTTTAAGCCCAAAGACTAACGTTATACTTTTATTTTCAGGTAATAAATAGGGAGGATCATGTCCCCCATTCCCCCCCCCCTTCCACTTAATCGAAGTTCTATAGGAGGCTTCTAAGAAATTAATTTATAATGATCAAGCAAAATCCTGATCAGAAACAATGAATATATATATTATTATAAAAGTAACTTGATCCGAAGAGTCGTATCACGTCAAGTTGACAGGCGCGGATCATCAGATCAAACTCGACGCTTCGCGTCTCGTTTGATCTGATGATCCGCGCCTGTCAACGAGACGTGATACGGCTCTTCGGATCAAGTTACTGTTATAATGATAAATTTATTATATACCCCCTTTACAACTAGCAAAATATAATAAAAAAAAACTTTTTGGATCAATTGCATAACTTTTAAACATTATAAGCAAACCATTTTGTCAAGGAACTTTTTGATGCGCGAGAATAAAAACGTCATTTATCTGTGTACTACGTCATCAGTTTCAGAGAGGGGTGATATGGATTCAGAAAACCACAGTGTGGTGATCCGGAACGTCGGATCACACCGTCACGTTATTGCATAAATTCAACAGTAAAACTGAGTGACAAACAGTTGGGTATATAGTAAAAGACTATACATGTGTACTTTCAAACTGTACACGAGTCACTGGACGTTCTACATAAAAATACGTCGGACTGATAAATAGTCGGCCCTCGTATCATTTGCTATGTGTGAGATTCAAAATAACAGCGCTTCAATTAAAAAAAAAATCTGTGCAAATATTTTAACATCATCTCAAGTCTGAGACAGCTGTTTAAAGTTTCTTCACTACAAATAATGATTTCGCATCAAATTACTATCCAATGAAGGTGTGCGGCAGCCCGGCATTCATTAATCTCGCACCTACCCAAAGAGACATATCACAAGTCAATCTAGCTCTTACCTACCCATAAAGGTACTAAACAAATCATTTTCATATCTACACAAATACGTGTGTTATACATCAATCTCTTACCTAACTATAAAGGTGTAACACATATATATCACTATCACACCTATGTAAATAGGTGTGTCACACCTCAATCTCTTACCTTTACCCATAAAGGTGTAATACTTATCTCTTTCACATCTAAATTATTAGGTGTCACATACACCTTCCCATAATGATTTAATAACAAACAGACTCATCAACCCATCCCACCCCATTTCACCCCCCCCCCCCAAAAAAAATTAATCGAAATCAGTAATGCAAATGAGAGCCAATAACAACGGTTGTTTGGAATGCTTTGTTGTAGAATATGGAACAAACATTTTTAAAGATGACATATATATAAGGAGATGTAACTCGAGAAACGTTACGTATATGCATTTAATATATGTAATTACTTTTTTTCAATGGATATATAAACATGTAGTTCTCTGGTCGTACATCCTAATGTTTTTTTTAGACCAGTGAGCCACATATCTCTATGCAGCTAATTTTAAATTGATTCTGTGGCTTTGGCGAAAACAGTCGAACATATGACCAAATTACGAAAGCTTATTAGGATCAAACTACGGTAAAAAAAAATTAAAAGGCGTTATAACGCCTGGCTTTCCAAAAGGCGTTATTACGCCTTTTTAAAAGGCGTTATTACGCCTTTCTAAAAGGCATTAATACGCCTCTCCAAAAGGCGTTATTATGCCTTTTGAAGAGCCATCATTATGCCTTTGACAGGCCCGTGCTTTTGAAGTGAGGGGGGGGGGGGGCATTCTCTCATAAAATTGACAAGCAAACAAAAAAACAAGAAACAACCCCCCCCCCCCGAAAAAAATAAACTGGCTCAACTTGAGGGGAATCTTTATCTAACTTTTCGGTAAAACTTTTTTTAAATGCAGTGACTTGCCCGAGTTTAACCATACTGCGACAAAATGTTAAGGGACCAAGCAATCAATAAATGAACTATAGCAAGACTATTCTCCCAAAAATGGGGTGGGGGAACCCCCCCCCCCCCCTCCACTCGCATTCGTACTACCGGCCTGTTTGAATAGGAGTTATATCCAAAAATGGAAAGGCGTTATTTAAAAATAATAAATATATGAAAGACTGAACCAAAGCCATTTTTATTTATGCAATATTTAGATTATAGTTTTAATATTAGAAATTATAGTATTTTCTATATTCCTGCACAATCATCTCGCAGACAGCTGTTTGCATGCGTATTAAGAGAAGTCAACACTCTACTTTTGAAAATCCAGGATACAGGCAGAGCCAGTTTTGGGCTTTACTAGCCATGTATTAAAAATTCATGTCAAATTTGAAATATTTTTCTCTCCTCTTGGAAAAAAACAGGCAAACTATTTGCATAGGTATAATGAGCAATTAGCCTTCAACCAAATTTCTGAAATCCATGCACCTTGGTAAAGGTGTCTGTCATCAGAGAAGGACTAAGTTGGTTTAACACTGAAAATATTTTACACATTTAAAAATCTTTTTTCCAATTATAATCAGTCCCCAGGGTGGGGTAAGTAAGTCATGTATTGAAAAATAAGAGGCGTAATAACGCCTTTAAGAAAGGCGTAATACTAGTAACGCCTTTGGAAAGGCGTAATAACGCCTTTTTAAAAGGCGTAATAACGCCTTTTCAAAAGGCGTAATTACGCCTTTTTTGCGTTATAACGCCTTTTAGAAAGGCGTAATTACGCCTTTATTTGCGTTATTACGCCTTTTGAAAAGACGTTATAACGCCTTTTAAATTTTTTTCACCGTAGTTTGATCCTAATAGGCTTTCGTACCAAATACATACGAAATACAGACAGAAAAAAAGAAAACAGAAAAGTTTATATGAACCATTTACTTGTTCAAGCGAGGCAAAATAAAGGGGGAAAATGAATGAAACTTTTTGGATCACATTTCCTGTTATTCCTATATAAAGACATCCTGGGTGTGCTCAATACTCAAGATTCAAGCATTCTCCATTCTTAATTATGGTCTGAAATTAATAAATTCTATGTAACATCCTTAATGGATATCTCTTCAAGAGTTCACATATAATTTTTTTTTGAAACGCGCAATTCACAGAGACTATAGCACCAGTAACCTTACGGTGTACATTTACTTAGGCGTTTTCAATGATTCATTACGCGTATAAATTAAGAACTCTGTTCAAGTATTCACTATTTTTTTTAAAACATGCAATCTCAAAAAAGAGCTATCATATAATATATTATATCGTCACGGGCACGTAGTATTGGGGGTGGGGGGGGGGGGCTGCCCCCTCCTCCCATTCCCCATTTTATCGAAACATAACCTTCTACTATATTGAAAATGTTCATTGAAAGAATGGTCCCCACTACCTTTTGTTGTAGTTTTCCCCAAGTTTTTCAAGTGAGTTGCCCCCTCCCTCCCACTTTCAAAAACGATACAACGTGCCTACGTCAAGAGACTTTTATGTTCATGGGTGAACTGTGCCTATACATTATATATATTTACCGTATACCTATTAGTTATTAGTTTTGGCTAATGAATAATATCATTCATGCCAAGGATTTTTTTTTCCGGAGGGGGGGGGGGGGATTCGACACCAACTCCAAAAAAAATTTAATGTAGATTTTCTTCGTAAACATGACTTTCTTTACCATTTTACACGGGGTCCGCTTTCCCTGGGGAGGGGGGGTTCCAAGGAATCTTTTTGTTACTTAACATAGAAATTTTATAACTATGAAAATCCCAGACCCCCCCCCCTTCTAGATCCACAAATGTCAATAAATCCTATGATCGGGCATTTAGATCACTATAAAATATCTCCTGAACAAAATAGAAACGTGCATGTGTAGCTCCTTAGGCATACCATGGAGTTTTTGGTTATTTACAAGGAAATATAAATTCAGGAAATCAGTGCGTGCCAATTGGATTCATTAAATGATTAGACACATTTAATTTTGCTATATATAGAGAGCAAAGGGGTCAGATAATAGGCATTTAATTACGTACATCAATCCTTAGTGTTTAAGATGTATAGTTATTATGAAACACTGTGTACAATTAAGGTACTTATGTATATTACATAGGAGCATGAACACATCCTTGACGATGGAGCTTCCTTCCGCCAGTAGTGAAAGACTTCACAGTTAAATAAGTTTTCGATGGTTGTAGTTTAGCCTCTGATTTTGTTTCTCTGTTTTGTTTTGTTTTTGTTTTGTTTTTGTTTTTTTTGTTTGTTTTTTTTTTGTTTTTATTAATGTTAAGATATCCATATTGTGGTATTTTCCTATCTGTTGATCTTTGTATCTATCAGTTTATCAAATGCACAAAGGATTAACAAGACTCAGATCTATGATGATGTACGGAAATAGTGTCGTGTGTAATGAGGAAAATGAAACACTATAGAATAAATTCACCCAACAAAACAACATGCTGAAACAAGGGTTTATTTTCCGGCTATATCCTACATATAACTCGTATTTTACAGCTTTTATATAGGTGCTGTAAATTGTCATTGATAGAGGTAATGCAAACATAGAGGCTAATAAAAGCCAGCAATTCAGTATCGTTACCCAAACTGTCATACTAAATCAACAGACCTATTTTTATAACAAATGCACATAATTCAAGAAATACTCAAACATGTTCTGAGCTTAAATACATAAATAAATGTCCAATGTCCATCTGCAGAACTCAAGTCAGAACTCGCCATTAGATATTAATAAATAATTGTGGTTCTTACCTTACACGAGGAGAGAGATCCTCATAATGGAGGGTGATCGTCATTCATTGGAAAAGGAAGTTCTTATCGAGGATGGAGATGTTCAAACCTACAACTGTACAGTTAGGAGTGTCAAGACAACACGTGTACACCCGTTCGATTTCTCACCAATGACAGGTATATTGTATTATACATCAGTTCTGAGGATTCATTGATCCAGTAACATATGTCTGTCCCTTTGTCTTATGTGAAGTTTATATGAATGACGAGCTACATATTTAAGAGCTATATTTTAAACTCGATAATAGAGAACAAGAAATCACGACGCCGGGTATTAATATAGCAGAACTCAGGTACATGGAGATGCTAAAATCAATATATTTACCGGGGGATACCCACATTGTGAAATTGATTATTACACGCCAATGCTTACCAATAGTTTGTGTACAGTTAATGCGTAAGAAGTGTAGAATAGAAAGCTAATCATAAATCAACAGTATACATGTATCTTACCTGGGTAGATTATTAACCAGACCACAATCTGCAGTACACCTGCATTCTTACAGGTACGAGGTGGGTCTCGGACTTGCTTTGCACATGTATCACGGTTTATGCGAGATTTTTGTATTCGATGCTACTATAGTTTATTTCCAGTTTTGATCCCACAGATGTCATAACCATCCCCATCTCCAAAAGGGATGCAATAACTTATAAGCAAGAAAGATGGTCAGTAAAGTCGAATTATGAAGTTCAGATAAATGTGGTTTTTTTCTTCTTTTGGTTATAATAAAGATATAAAATCCGATCCAGGATCAAAATTAAAACTCTTTGTATTGATAGCCAGTCTCTCAGTACTGATATTGTGATGTAATTTACTCGGCTTATATAGACCTCGCTACTGAAAAGGGAACCTCATTCCACAAGCAATTGTGTTGACAGCGGGTGGTTTTTATTTCACTAAATAAGTCATGCGGGATCTGGCCCCAGGATCATGAAACATCTCAAGCTTAAGCCAGATTCTATATATTTCTCTGAAATGAGGTAGAAGCAGATCAGTCCAAAATGACAATCTTTTTCAATATTGCATCACCAAATTGTTTTAACTGCAAGTTCATAATAAAAAAAAAATATATGAATATTTTACCGATGATTGAAATTTTGACGTAAGTCTGTTTCATGATCTTGACTGATAGTGGACTACATCCAAATACGATGAATGAATTCCCACAATGTTACAGCGAATTACAAAATACCGGTAAAGTTTTCAATAGCTTGCTGGATAGCTCAATAGGGTATACAATTTGGTCTAACAAGTATCACATTAGGTTTGAATCTAGGTCACGAAGTAACTCAGGTGTATCATTAGATTTTACAGGTAAATGTGAGTTGATTTCAATGTTGAATGAAGCCACATGTATGTGCCAAGGTGTTCTACTGTAAATAAATGCATTATTTTTCTTTAATTGCAATTTTTTCAGTAAAATTGTATGCTAGCTCTTTCAGTAATGCATAAATCTTCTGCATACTATTCTTCCTAATTGCTCTTAAGTCTTTTCACTTCTGAAATTAAAACCTATTATAATCTTTTTTCATGACCTACAAGCAATTTCAAATTAGAGGGTAAAATTTTTCTTCGGGACAAAAGTTTCATTCTTATCAATAAACAACAGCAACACTAATTAAAACAAGAGAAAATATGGGGGAGGTTGAGGATGGAGGGATTAAACTATGCCTATGCCAGCAGTTGCAAATCTGAACTCTTGGGGCCCATTTTATAAAAGAACTTACGACTAATTCTTAAAAATTTTTAACATGATAGTTTTTAATTCTCATCACTGAATAATTTTGTGAGATTTTGCTTTAATAAAATTACCTAACTAATTTTTTCATATAAAGTATAAAATAATAATTTATACAATGTAAAGATTAAAATAATTTGCAAAAGCGCTTAGTTTTAGTCATAAGTTCTAAGTATAGAATAACAATTTATACAACGTAAAGATTAAAATAAATTGCAAAAGCGCTTAGTTTTAGTCATAAGTGTTTTTGTAAAACAAGCCCTTAATTCAAATTTCAGATTTTCAGAAAGTTACAGAATGTAGAAATTTGCTGGGTGTGGAGATGTTGATCATAAATTAATTCAGTACAAGTTATATTTGTTATCTATATTATTATTAAATTATTTAATATATTTATGTGTTTATTTAAAATCCTTAAGGTGAGAGAAAAATGAAGTGGAAAGCTAACTTCCTTACTTGTTAAAAACAATACCTTTTTGCAAGGAAAATTTTGAAAATTATGTTGAAATAGGTGTGAAATTTAGGCGGGAATTGAAAGTTAGCGTGCGTAGATCATTATTTATTTTCCATTTTGGCCATCTTGACTCCACCACTAAGACATGTCTGAAATGCTTCAAACTGTATTCTTTTAATCTGTAAATTATGCTAACGTAATATTCAGTTCTATGTAATTGATAATTTCATGATTAGATCTAGTCGTCGAAAGTAGTGTTACGAACCTACAATTAGTTGTAGTAATAAACTTTAGGTTTCAAGCGGAAAAGTGGATTCCTCCTATGATATTGAAAAAAGGTAATTTTAAAAAGGTACGTTGGAGTACAATACAGTAATGTAGTATAAGTTTTCACACAAGACACACAGCATATAATCAGATAAAATACAGGAATAATTTTGTATAATTACTTATTTACTGTTTTATTTTAATTTGAAAGAAAACAAGGATGTTGAAAACTCAAAATCTCAAAAATGGCCTCACGTTTTCACGTACTTAGTATATCATTGATCGGGATGTTGGGTTAATATTAGTGGTGTTCCAATCATCGATTATAATCGAAAATCAGTCAATTGCTGGCATAATCCAAGCGCTCGATTACAATATTTTTATTCTGCTTAATTGGGTTGTGTATTTTTTTTACAAGCGTAATAGTTTTTAAGCCAAATATTCCAGCCGCGACTTGTCTGTTAACTTATTTGTGTATCATAATGGCGCAGACGAAGGGACATTGTATTCACACGGGTAACAACGCTCATTCCGGGGTATGGACGTACTTTGGATTCTACAAAATGAACGTAGAACCAGCTTGACTAAATAGAACATTCTATTGTTAAAATGATATTGTCCTAAGGACTAGGGGTTGTCCCGAGACACAGATTATTCCATCTACAGCTGGACCACCACAGAAAGTAGTTATTCAACCATTCTTACCATTTAATAAACTAAATTGACAGACTTTGTAAATGTCCGATTATAATTGATAATTAGTTAGTTACAGTAGCCCGATCATCGATTATGAAATTCTTACCGATTCCCATCACTAGTTAATATACTGATTACTGACTAGTAGTTTAAATCTTGGGGTATTACACACTGGAATTTAAACCTCTAGTGAAGTAACCTTGGAAATAGACGAAACTTGAGATGAAATGAAGCTTCAGAGTTCTAATTTATTTAAACCATTCGATTTACATTGTAAATATACTTACAAAGCAGACTATAGGACCCTGACTTTTCTAAAATCATCTCGCAGGCTTGCATTTCCTGCTGAACCTTTATATGAGGGGCGTCTGTGAGATATATCTTTAATATTATAACGCATATATAAACCACCAAACTGTATTTTCAGCCCCGCCAGTAAGAGTAAAGCTTTGAGCATACCAAAGTACAAAGATAGAGAAACTAATATGAAACTGATATGAATCTGAGAAAACAAGGACGTTCTAGTCACATGTATACTCTTTTATTCTGAAAACGAACTCACTGAAATCAAAAAAAAAAAAATTTATAATTGGAAGAAAAACTCCTTTCTTTGAATCTTGTACGTTCCGTTATTTGTGACCATTATTTCACACTGTTGTCATTAGATTACAACTGTCATCATCCATTGATATTCATGTTTCTGACACCACCTTACTTGAAAAACAGGGATAGAAAACATATTTAGTAAGTTTTTTTTTCTAATTTATAGCGTTTTTTGAAGTGAGATATTGTTATATGGTGAGGAGAATTTACCCCCTAAACGTGCAGTGATTGCCCTGCCGCTGCTAAACAAACTGTCAGTGGAAAAACACAAGTTTTCTTTACCACCGATTGATATGAGAATCTGTCAGTCCAGTCTGAATGACTGCCGTCACGAGATACTGCTGCTTTTCTTCTTATCAAACATGGACATGAGCAATTCTTTCCTGCTGTCACCAGCTTGAAACAGTCTCATTTTGAGGGAGGGTTTACCGGGGGTTGGAATAGACGACTCCTCATCAACACTCAATTCGTCTATGAAATAGAAGCATTGCAGCTATGAAGCAAATGGAATAGAAAGGTGAGCAAACAGATCTAAATCAAATAAGCCTATGAGTCATCGAGCTTACCAGACATCAAGTACACAAAAAATAAGTATACACGCATATATACGAAGTTGAAGATTATTCTATATTAGGGATATCTAATCCAAGGGAATATGTTTTTCAAAGGGAAAGAGATATAAATTGAATGTTCTCTTAAAATTATATATATTCATTTTTTCCCTCCTTTCTTTTGATAAATATTGACTCCTTCTTACAGAATGGAAATTTTCTGATTGTCGAATGTAAAACTTGGCTTTCACTGAGGAATGGGGAGGAATGGATGTGGACTTTTTGACACTCTTTGAAGCTTGATATGAAAGGTTTTTTCCTTGTTTTGGGCGGATTTTTTTAACATCTTGTAAAATCGTATATTTACATTTAAAGAACATATATTTTACAATGACAATTTGACAAAATGGTAATAAAAACGATTATTATTTTCTAAGCTCACCTGGCTTCATGACCATAAAAACAATAAAATTATCAGACAAAAATTATATCTTCTATGCTCATCTTAGCCAGATATGAATTTAGTAAAATCTATATGGTCCTACGTTCAAGTAATAATCTTTAAAAGATATTTAGTGTTTTTAAGTTCAAGGAGTGGTCAATTTTTGACAAGTTTGTATTTTGAAATTTCGAACAATTACCAATTCCACAAACGCTGTCAGTGGCCTTGAGAAAATCAGGAAGATTGATGGGGTTAAAGTTACAAGTTTTCTTGTGAGATGCCAGTAACTGCAGCTGTCCTACATAGTCACACCCTGACTTCCGGTATGGACACGCCACCTGTAATATCCCAAACAGGAAAGACGTGCCAATCTAAGGTATGTGAGGATATCAATCAATTCTTAATTTTAAAAATCGTCTACCAACTATAATTACTTTTTTTTATCATGCCTAATCTAAGATCCTTCACAGAGATATTTGAAGCCATTAACATTAAAAAAGAACAGATTTTATACAGCAGTAAAGGTATTGATAAAGCACAGCTACGTATAAATAATAAAACATGCTGCTAATACCAAGTAAAGATAATCAATATGTAGGATTAACAAAAGTGCTAATTCCATCTGTCATTCAAAAACATTTCTTCGAGATAAAACGTTCGTACAAGCTCTATTTACCTCTGTATTTTTTTTTCTGTTTTCTTACGTACCATTTGATCTCCTATGATGTTTTCCAAAATAAAGTCATGATGCAATTGTTTCTCTTTGACAGGCTTCCTGTAAATGAGAAAATAAACCAAAAAAAAAATCGAATTACCAAATATAGTCAAGAAAATTAAAAAATATATATATATTTCTTTTATTACTTGAATATAATTATTTTTCTTTTATTACTTGAATTCTCGAGAGGGACGTTAAACAACATACAAACAAACAATTTATTACTTGAAAGTTTTGAATCTGAAATTTGCATTTTAAATGGCATTTAAAATGAATTTTGAAATGCTATTCATTACTATAATGTGGAACTCATTTATCTAAATTTAATTTTAAACAAATTTATTACACTCAAAATATTTCTAAAATAGTATTAATCACAACGTAATAATGGAAAATTAAACTTACCTGTCCTCAGGACAAGATTGACTCTGTCGTAGCCATGGTAATATGCACTGAAAACACATTTAAACAATGTCCCAAACAGTGAGAATTCTTATTATCTTATACTTAGCGGATTTATGACAATCTTTAAGAGGGGGAAATTCCTAATTTTAACTATTTAATATAATACAGTGTATTATGAATTTATCAACATTGACAATTAAACTGAGGGTAGTAAGCTATATTATATCAAGATAATAATTGAAACTTGGCATTAATTAAGCCTGATTTAACTTCAATAGGTAATATACCTTTCTACAGAAACTATGGCCACAAGGAGCCCGTTGGGGGTCCTGGAAAACATCTTGGCAAATTGAACAAAACAGATGTACACTCACCGATTCCGGGTTTAAAAAGTATCTGAAAAAGTGAATGATTACATTAATATTTTGATATTTGAAATGTTACTTAGTGGTGAGAGGAGTAGATAAAATTCAATGACTGGAAGTATGTTAAGTACTATAGTACTGTACTGGGAATTTCTACTGATTTCTATACATTACCTGACTTCATTGTCAAATCTGTCTTCCCTCTGTCTTTTTGTCATTCTTCCGATGGCAAATTATATGTGTATCTATTATAAATGGTAAATCTATGCAAGAAATGAATCGATCTTTTATTCCTTTTTTTAAATTAGTGCATAGGGGCTTGCTCCCGAAGTATAAGAAAATATTTGTTAAAAATTATATACCAACTAATGTAGTTTTATAGTAGTTGGTATATGGTTTTAAATAATTATTTTAACACCACAGGAGAAAGCCCCTGTGATTAATGAGAAAGATATCAGGTGAAAATCTTAGCCTAGCATAAAGTTATAATTCTTCTACCTCATACTGGCAAAGATCTAAATTGGTCTTTATGTTTTTATTCTTAAAACTCTTATGGATTAAAAAGTATACTCGCTCTCTCTCTTTCTCTCTCAACCTTATAAGATAAACAGCTGATAAATAAGTACATGTAACTCTATAATTAACGTTGTTAGATCAACACTTAAACTCTCGATCCTTATCTTTTCTTACCTTAACTGAAGAGTGTAACAGTGTCACTGTCAGTAAAAACTGAAATTGAATGTGGCGGAAAAATCACGGTTTCTGATGTTTTTACCTTAATTGAATACTCTTTCATTTTTTTAAACGCTCACATGACCAGAAAAGATTTTTTATGGGTCAAATCGTACCTGGCAACGTCGTACACCTGTCAGGTAAATATCGAATTTTAAAGTGTCATATCCGAGTTGATATCCATATCAGAGTTGTCTCTCCTTAACGCTCATAACTTTCAGACATACCAGTCACTTTGTGTTGAATTGTTTACATGTTAAAGTTTAGATTGTTTGCTCAAAACTGTATACATAAATTCAAATGGATAGCTTTTAAACTTTTAATGTAACACATGCATTTAAAAGTGATCACACTACATAAACAAATTGCCTTAATAGACAGTCGTACACCGAAGGAAAAATATACACATGCATAGATCTACTAAAAATAAATATATTTTTACAAAATTGCCATTTATTAAGTGTTAAGAAGTTACCTGGAATACAAAGAGACTGATAATAACTAAATTCAAATAAACTCAATTCAAATGTTTCTTGCGAAAACCATCTAATATAATTAGCAGAAAAAATAGAAATAGAACAGTTTTTGTTTTTACTGAATTCTGTTTCCTTTCATTCATGGGCGAATTTAAAGAAAATGACCAGACACATATTTATCAACCTGCACTAAAATACTGGCAATGGGAATAAATTTCTACATCGCAGCATATGTCTTTAGATGGTGTCTAAATACTTGCCAAATATCTTATTGATATCTCAAGTCACAAAAAAGTTATGCTCAAAAATGATGTTAAAAATGTCAGGATTGCAACACCTTTTTGTTTTTGGACATTTTGAAAATGCAATATTGTTTTGAAAATCTGCGAAATAAATAATCATTGATTTTAAACATAACAATTAAGTCAAAAAAGAATTTTTGAAGTGTAAATCAGTAACTGATGTACCATTTAAAACTTTAAAATATTTTATAAATCACAAGCAGCAATAATGAGAATCAAGTATTTCTGCATTTCCGATTATGTCAGGAATGCAGCATTTGATGTTTTGGTCCCATACATGGTAAGAATTTTATCAGTATATGATTCTCTGATTTTTATTTTGGAAAATAACAATAAAACACAAAGAACATTTATACCAAATAGATTTAGCAATTACAGAATCTGTCTGTATTTTAGATCTATATTTCTATGGTCAGGGGCGCTCCGTGATCGGGAGGTCGTGAGTTCGAATCTCGGCTGCGACTGACCTAAGTCGATAAAAAATGGGTAGCAATTGTTCCTTCGCATGCGCTCAGCACTTTGAAGTGAAAGTTGCGGTCCTTCAAATGAGACCTTAAAAACCGAGGCCCCATGTCACGACAGGCGTTGGCACGATAAAGATCCCTCACTGCTCAATGGCCCTGAGTGCCGAGTAAAGGTCTAAATTTGAAGCCCTTCACCGGTATATGGTGACGTCTCTATATGAGTGAAAAATTCTCGAATGGGACGTTAAACAACATACAATCAATCAATCAATCTATGGTCAGGGGTGCAACACATTTTTTTTAAAGACTTAAGTTATATGATGAAAAGACTTCAATTCTTACTGATAAATGTTCTTTAATAAATAATGATCTATTTGAATAATTCAGTACTAAATTATTGTCAGTTTTATAAATAAAACCCGTCTCTCGTTTCCTCTCGTCAGGAGTGCAATGTAAAATAGGATCACTTCAAAACCTAGTTTATTTTTGTAAGAAAATTTGTGTATAAAATTCTTTTTTGGCTCAGATTTAAAGAATTGACTTAAATGGAAAAAAGTGATTTTAGGGGGAATTTATTGTATCATGTTTCTTTCATATTAAAACGTTTTCAAACTAGAATTGAATTGAATTGAACATATTTTACTGACATAGTCAAAAGGATGACACAAGTTCTACAACTTAGATAGTCTTCTCCTTATACAGAATTTTACAAAGTTACCACAATACAAGGTAACAAATCAATCAGTAGTGTCAAAAACTAAAAATTCTTGATACGCAAAATATAATTACTTAAGTTTGTTTAGAAAATCTACCACATTCTTTTAAGAAAGTATGAATAACTTTAAACATTTCTACATTTTGTTGATCAGAGCTTTTCAATGTCTGCCTTTGTACATCCAGACCAAAATTCAACAGCGTAATATGGTGACGTCTCTATATGAGTGAAAAATTCTCGAATGGGACGTAAAACAACTTACAATCAATCAATTCAACAGCGTATTCCAGTTGTGGTCTGATAAAAGAAATATACATCTGAGACAAAATATCCCTTTACACAGTGAATTTTAGTTTTTTCAGTAAACCAAGTTTTTTGTAAGTCTTCTTTACAATGTTATCAATGAAATATGTGGAGATAACGAACAGTATTCGAGCTCAAAAGTCCATTTAACATTACAAAATAGGAGCAGAGCAGAAACGGACCTCTAAGACATTAGAGGTGGGATCAGGTGCCATGGAGGAGTGAGCATCCCCTGCAGACCGGTCACACCCGTCGTGTGCTCTTTGTCATGATCGAGAAATAACGGAAAAAATCCGTCGAAAATTCAGTGTGTAAAACAGGCCCGTAGGAAGCAATTTCAGTTTGGGGGGCACAGCCATACATCTTTCAGTTGACAGTTGAAGGGGCACTACCAAAAATTTCCTGAAAAGCACAAACACATATTATCTATGTTTACTATAGTAATCTATATATCGGCAAAATTGGGGGGGGGGGGGGCACCCCCCCCGTGCCCCCCGGTTCCTACGGCCATGTAAATAATGGCCTAACAATTAGTATGAAAAAAGTCAGTCAGCATTTGACTTAGTGAAAAATTGTATTTGTTGACAAGGTCATTGTATCGACCATAGAACTTACGAAATGATGACTTTAAACGAGACTGCTGATATTTTTGTTTCATCAACTTGTTTGTCAATAACTTACCTCGTTTTAGAATTTGTTCATACGTAGAGCATGCTCTGGCGTATCAAATCAACTGAAAGATAAATTTATGTTAATAAATTGTTTTAAGTAAAGTTCGTTTAGTCCTTTCTTGTCAAGAAATTGCTTAAGGGCTCAAGATCATCTACACGTAATATCTCACCAGATTCACGCCTACCCATCACGCATGCAATCCTTGAAAAATTAGTAGAAAAATTGAGCGTGTCATTCCCTGATCCCCATTCAAGGTTATTGTTAAAATCCCTTTTCCTACTTGCATATCATGCATTCATGCGTCTTGGTGAATTAGTATCAAAATCAAAGGCACAAGTGGAAAAGGTAATTCAATACAATGACATTTCTTTTGATACTGAGAACTATATGTTGATAACACTCAAACATCACAAATCACATGACAGTCCCTTACCCACATCACTGCATGTTTATGCCAGTGGAAATTCAAAATTTTGTCCTGTTCAACTCATGAAATCATATCTGGCAACTTTTGCACATACTAAGGGCCCCCTTTTTCAATTCAAATCAGGCTTGCCTGTATCTTACTACTTTGTTTCAAATAATCTTAGTCACACAATTGGTCTTTGCGGCTTAAATCCAAGACATTACAAAGGTCACAGCTTTAGGATAGGTGCTGCGACAGATGCAGCAGCTAAGGGTTTATCAGATACTATCATTCAGAAATTAGGTCGTTGGAAATCCAATGCTTTTCAAAGATACATCAGATTTCCAGCACATTGAACATGTTGTAGCAAAAAATTTATGAAAAGTTGTTGTGTATGTTATCTGAAGGAACTTTGTTAGTGGGCAGCATATGGTTACACTAGCAACAAAGGACATATTGTAAATGTGTTTCCCCTGGTTATGTCTCAGTCAGTGCGGCGGTCAGCAGTTGGTTGCGCTGCAGAATGCCATGGTATATGTAAATTTCTTTGTTAAAAGCAGTGGTCAGCAGTTGGTTGCACTGCAGAATGTTATGATGTGTGTATATGTAATTTTCTTATTCTCTAACAATACCTGTTTTTGTTCAAAGCAGTGGTCAGCAGTTGGTTGCACTGCAGAATATTATTTAAAAACTTATTTGGATAGGATTTATCAACACTCTGATTAATAGTTTACATTTTATTTGTTTGGTGGTACATTTACATATGACACTTCTAGTCCGGTTCCCTTCCTTTTTTTTTAAATTTATTTATTTCTAGTCACCGTAGCATAATATGACCTTTTTAGCCCTTTTTGGCTTGTATTGTTACCACACATGCTCATTCTTGTATATATTTATATAGATTATTATGTTTTTAAAGATTAGACTGGGCTGTTTCCATCTTCGACGACAGTAATTTTATATTTCTTGAATACATTGCAATGTTTTGTTTTTCCTTTTTCTTATTTCCAACTGCCTTCATTTCGGGTGGCCTTCAAGGTTTCACCTTGTCGATGTCAAGGTTTCACCTTGTCTGTGGCAGAATTTTTGGCCACCTTTTTTGCTTTTGTTTTATCATTTTATCATCTAGTTCTGGGAGGCCATTTCAGTGTATAATGTTTGTTGTAATTATGTAATATGTACTCATT